TCTGATCTGAGTGAAGACTCTGATCTAAGAGCATGTTACGCTTCAAGCACACAGCTGCACCAGACTCTGATTCATCAACATCTGAAGAACATCTTAGGCTCTGAAGTTTCCAGAAGGTTCTGAAGATTGAAGACTCTGATATTGATTGTTGATCTGAACTATCTGAAGAATTATTTGAAGAAGATTATTTTAATATATCCGTTGGAATATGCCAGCAAATCTTTCCTTAATTGGGATAGACAAAATTCTCTGCAAGAATATTATTCCTCTGGTACATTCCACATATGGTATAATCACAGCTCAGCAGACAATTGCTACACCCACATTTTGTGCGCCGTCTCTCTGCTGCAATAGTACAAAGGACAGTACTATTTTGATATTGGAAATATTTTCTCTAACGGTAAAATATTCTCTCTAATATTCAAGTGGCTATATAAAGGATATCATAGCTCATTCTTCAAGTGCTGAATTAAGACGCATATTGAAAATCTTCTCTCACGCTAAAAGCTCTCATATTCTTCACTGTTCATACATTGTTCTAAACTTAGAGAAATAACACAGTTGTGTTTATAGCTTTCATAGAAGCATTTCTTACTCTTTCATTGTATTACATTAATTTGTAAAGGAAGTTTTCCTTAAGAGGATCTAGGTTAGATCAGTAGCTCTTAAGAAGACTAAGAACAGTTGTTCTTAGGTGTGCTATTTGTAATCAGTTGATTTGAATAGTGGATTAAGTCCTTGTTGAGAAAGGCAAATCACTCTTGAAAAGGGTGGACTGGAGTAGTTGAGTTCAACGAACCAGGATAAAAATACTTGTGTTTTTATCGTTGATTATTTTCTGTCATACTTATTCAACCCCCCCTTCTAAGTATTTTCTCACCTTCAATTTCAAAGTATAACCTTACACCCTTTTTATGTTAAATATAAGTGGTTAAAATTTTATGCAAAAACATAGCATATTGCATTACTAATTTTTTCTTGCATCAACTTGGCCAAACCTCATTTTTCTAAGGTGTTTTCTGCCTCAAAGCAGTGGTAATCGGTTACCACAATTCTTGTAACCATTTACATGACTCTAACATTAACATTTTTGCCCTTTTTCAATTGGTGTAATCGGGTACCATATTTCCTATAATAGGTTACATGCGCTTAAATTTCAATTTTTTTACACAACTTCATCTATAATCGATTATGCTCTTTTTGGTAATTGGTTATCACTGAAGTAGTGGTGGTGATTAACTCATTTTCTGATGCAAATGAATTTTTGAAATTCTTTTTGAACCATGACATCATTTCATGCATTTTTTATAAAGGTGTTAAGGCACTATATAAACCATACTTTTCAAATTTTGGCATTCACCTCTTTCATTCTGCAATTCAAAAACTATATTCTCTCATTTTCAAAATCAAGTGTTTTTGACATAACTTTTTTGTTGAAACTTTTGAACATAAATTTCATTTCATTATCAAATAGTTTCAACTACATAAAATCATTGAGCACTTGTACTACATATTAAGAATTGTTTACTTGAAGGAGAAGATCAATCCAAGTGATTGATACATTGCTATACAACTTCAAAATTATTGTTAAAATACAAACTAGTGTTGATTTCCTTGTTGTCCAGGTTGTTGGAAGTAAGATAGTGATTAAGTGATGATTGTTCTCTTAATTATTTTGTAAGATTATAAGGGGATTGTCCTTATTTATTGATTTAGGATCTTGTGTATAGTGGCTAGGATAGCTTGTACAAAGTCCATACAAGATAGTAAAATCTCTTACTGCATAAAGGGACTGGAGTACTCTCGAATTGTAAGAAGAACCAGGGTATATCATTGTGTCCTTTATTTTTCCATATTTTACCGCTTTCATCACATAACATCCAACCGAAAAAATAATCACATCTAAGTCTAAAACCAGAAAATTTTTAAAGTACCTAATTCACTCCCTCTTTGATGCATTTCATACTTACAATTCATAACCACAAAAATCACAAATAACATTTCATAAGGATTTACCATGTATGTAGTATCAAATACAATAACATCATCATAACATCACTTCTTCCACATCTTTCTCTAACTCTAAGATACACATTATTTTTCTAACAGAAAGCCCACCTTCTTTTAATAAGAAAATACAATCATAAGGATTTTCTGAGATAGTTCGATAAGAAGGTAAAAAACACACCTCTGACTGGGTTAGTAAACCATGATTATGTTAATCAACAAATGTTGTAACTCGTCACTCACTTGAAAATATATCTTAGGACTTTTGTAATTTATTTGTAAATGAGCTTTACATTTACCCTTTGTTGATTCTCTTTTTCTCTGTTCTTTTGATGGTTCTATGTTTTTTTTAGGAAACTCTACCTTCACGATGACAAAAAAAATCACGCCGACTAATGATTCCAACCTTTTGTTTTATGAATCTACCTTTTTGAATTGAGAATCCATGATGATATGCATATCTCTTGTAAAAAAACAAATGCTTCTTCTTCAATAATAAAAATTTGACCAATAAAAGGAACCATATTTGTCTCATCACAAACAACATCTAAAATCAACTTCTTTTGAAAATTATTTATCACAATATTTTAAGTTGACGATATAAGATTTTGATTCTCAAAAGTTCTAATTTTTTCAACTTCTAACATGTCTTTCTCCATGATATTATGATCAAACACAAATAAATAGATAAGATATAATATAATAAGACAAAAATAAAAATATATTAGTTTGACACCATGTACCTGTAAGTATTTCCTTGAAAGAAAGCAATAATACAAACTAGTGAAATGGAAAGTAGCAGTAAATGTAACAAAGGGCGATGTCTACGTGATAGACTGATGACAGTCTGCCATTGTATAAAATTAGGCAAAAAGTCGGAGAAAAACAAGTGAAAGATGAGCCAAAAGGAAGAAGAAAGACCAAATAATGAGGAAAAAATAGCCCAGTGTGAAGAAATTGGACTTACTGAAAAATTAAGTGAAAAATGGAGCAAAAACACTCAACTAATATAATAATCACGTGCAGCATTGCGCACGCGATAGATTTGTAATAACTGCATCCCGCGTGATACGCGCGCGATACTGCCTTTTTTGCGTTTTTTCTGACGCGTCTGATCCATTATGAACTATTTTTAAGGGGAAATTCGACACTGTTGCAAGGGTTACAAAAATTGGCACTGCAAGTACGATTTTTACAGCATCAAGGGTGATTTGGAGAGCATTTGAAGCCATTTCAGGTCAAAACTTCAAGGAAAATCAAATGTTATTCTTCTTTATTCAATTTGTATTGTAATTTGAATTATGAGTAACTAAACTCCTCTGGATTAGGTTGTGTGCGATGAACCTGTTTCAATATTGTTGGGTAATATATTGATTTGACTTTGTATGAAACCTTTGATCTTTAATCCTATGCAATTGCTTATTGCCTTAATACTTTTTATGTGAGATACTCTTTTAAATTGATTTTGGGCACATGGAGAATACTGACCATTAGTCTATGTGTTGGACATAGGGCAATTGTGATACTTACACTGGTTGAATAGAAATAAAGACCCCGAGTAGTGGCATAGAGAATTAACGTTTTGTACATTGTCTAATCCTGCTTACGCTGGTGGACTAGGGATAGGAAGCTCCGAGTAGTGATTAGTGAGCTATTTCGTGAGGGATCAGTTATAGTGGCTTTGTTAATTCACGGTGGGATTATAGTGATATGATCATTCATACAAGACATCAAACATCAACAATAGAGAAATAGGGGATTCAATACAAAACCTGACCGCTTTTGTAATTCTGTTTAAAAACTTATTTTACTTTACATATTGCAAACTTGAAAAACCTCTCATTTACTGTTTTCTTCACATTGCACAAATTTTTTTTGTTTGAACATTACCTGTGGATTCGATCTTAATTATTACTTTAATATTATGGATACACTTGCCAAAAATTCATCAAAAACCTCAATAGATCTCTCACGTAAGAGGCTAGAAATTTCGCGTTATTAATATTATTATTTTCACTTTCAACCATTTAGCAGAGATTTTATACCGTCGCAAATTTTCAGTGTTTATTTTACGGGGGTTTAAAACGGCCGCTAAATGGTTGAAAATAAAAAAACCTACAACTTTGCGGGGGTTTAAAACCACCATTAAATGATTGAAAACAAAAATAAAATTAAAATTTTACATTTGTTTAAAATCGTCATTAAATAGTTAAAACAAAGAAAAAATTTGATATGTTACATGCGAGGTCTCTCACGGTAGCGAGTTGTAACAAAGTACTTATTACAAATAAATAGATAAAGAACAAATGAACAAAATGTGTTATTTATGATGTGTCCAATTTTCTTATTCACATTTTTATTTTATATTAAATATCAGTTTTAATAATATTTTTTTTCTAAAGAATAAGAATATAAAGTGAATCTAAAAAATATTTAAGGTAATGCACTATTAATGTAAGACAAGCAACCAATTAAAATGTCTATAATTATCGTATAATATTAATATTTTTAAAATAAAAATATTTTTTTTTCTTCTAATAAATAGTTGTGTTTGGTTGATAGTATAAAAAAATCAACTATATATAATTATGATTGGTTAAAATCAAATATCTATATATATCAACTAAAGAATTATCATCAAATCTATTTAAAAGAGAATAAAGAAATTACTTTGACATTTACTCATAAATCTATTTAAAAGCTTTTTTTTTTAAGAGAATAAAGAAATTACTTTGACATTGACTCTTTCCATTTATTTGCATTTTGGATAATCCGCATAGTTTCTGTGCGCCTTAAAAAAAAAAAAAAGAAGAAATCTTAGCACTGCTGTGAAATTGTCGTTGATATAATCAAATTTGAATCAAGCTCAACTTAGGTTAATATTTGTTATATTAGTTACTTAGTATATTTTAATTCAGTTTTAATGTCTATTTTTTTTTCTCGGTTTCTCTCAGTAAAAATTCAGTGAAGTCACCGATCTCTTTTCCTCCGCCATGCACCTCCACAACCTTCCTCGGTTTCCTCCTTCTTCTGCCGGTACTCTCTCTCTAAATTACTTCGACGTGGTTTGTTTTTTTTTGAAATCTTGGATTCGACGAGGGTTTTTACTCTTGCGGTGTGATTTATCAGGGAGCGCACCCTTTCGCGTTAGTCATCATGTAAGCAGGTGGAAACGCAGCTATAGTGGACGTGAATTGGAAACAAGACGCTTCCGCAATAATCATAGAGACAGAAGCATGAAGAAACGTTTAAGAGCGTCTATAAACTGTTCTAGCGATGTTCCGAATGGTTCTTCTCTACCTTCTATTGAGCAATTGAGTAATGCTCGAGTTATATATTCTGTTGCTTCATCCATGGGCCACAACCAGGTTATAAGCAATTTTTTAACCTCTATTTGTATTGATACTGTTTTTTCGTTTGAATTCGAAATCACTGAGTTAGTTTCCCCAAATAAGATATTCACTTATGACAGGAGTCTCATCCAGAATCACATTTCAGAGTTCCTGCAATTGTGAAAGCTCTGGAAGAAAAGAAACTCACTTCAAAGGTACTGTTGCATTGAGAAAAAGACACTGCTCAGAATCTGCTTAGAAAAATACCAACTTAACTGGACAATTTATACTTTAGGGACGCTAACTAGTAATTACTAATTAGTAAATATTTTTATTTCCATAATAATTTTTTAATGATTCAGTTCCGTGGCTCCGAGGTCATTGAACTTCAGCATTTTAAGCCTGCTTCGACTGATGACATTGCAAGTGTGCATGCAAGAGCTTATGTTTATGGGCTTGAAAAGGTAACAATTTTTGTTAAATGAATTTCTATGCTTCATTCATTTAATATGTGAGAGGCTGTGTTTTGTAAATTATGGTATTTTTTAATTATATATTATTCTTTATAAATTGTGCTTAGCAAATTTGTTATTTTAGGCAAAATTAATCCGGAGGTCTCTTAATATCATGCTTCCTCTTATGCCCCGTATTCCTTTCCAATTCTTGCTGTTGTAATTCCAGCAATACAAAATACTTCAGAAGAATTAGTTTGTTAAAGGAGAGAAAAATAATGGTAACAGAGAAAGAAAGAACTGCACAAAAGTGAGAAGCCGTCTGCGGCATCTTTCTCTCTGGTTTTCGATATTTGTTACCAACACCATTAACCATTTTTTCCCTCTGTGTATTGGTAGTCTGGTACCGGCACACCTTATAGTTTACTGTAACATCCACCTAATTACTGACTCCAATGGGGATGGGATGATTAGTCTTTGCAGAAATAAGGATGGACCAAAGGAGTTAAGTGGGTCTGACCTTATTAGTTATTCTTTGTTATTTATAAAACCTATTAATTAGGGTTGCATATGTTTCTTTAGGAGAAATGAGGATGAGCCCCAAATAATATAGTGGGTTAGGCCTTATATTTAGTTTTGGTTAGGGTATATAATTACAGAAATTATATAATGAGTGGGGGAGTTTCAATTATCATGTTAAAGGAGAGGCTAGACTGTACCTGGTGATTCCTTGTTTTTTCCTCTGCTTTAGCAATAAAGTTTCCTATATTCTTTCTACAAATTCTAGGATCTGAACCATTGGCTATCAACTCTTTTTTTCCTATAACGTGTGCTTCTGAATCAGTTTCTAACAATTCTTTTACTTCATGCATGCTTTAATATGATTTAGTGCATACTGATGATAAAACATCAAAGCTAGTGTAGTTATGCTTAAACACTACTAATGTATTCTAAGTGCTGGCTAGTTTTTTTTCTTAAGTATCCTTGTCTAGTTCAAAGTTTCACATCACTAGCCGTTTCGTATAATTTGTGATACTTAAGCATTTCATTATTTGTATATTAATCTGGTTTTACCATGACATTGACTTCTTGTTTTAAAGTTTGACACTTTTCCTCTTTTGAATCTTTATAGGTTATGGATCAAGCTTTGGAGAAGGGCCTTATTCTCATTGAAGGTTCTGGACCAACATATGCTACTTCCACTGTCAGTACTACAAGCTTTTTCTTGCTTTCCCTAGCTCAATGTCAGCAAAAAGTTTTTCTATTCTCGTTAGTTTTTATTAGTTTGTTGTGGTAGAAGATACAATTATCAAGTAGACTAATCATATTGGTTCCTATGTTTTTGCATACTTATTGTGGTATTCCTTGTGCAGACCTTCCAGGAGTCAATAGTAGCAGCTGGTGCTGGATTAGCCTTAGTTGACTCAGTGGTGATCTCTCAACCTTGCATGTCCACCTCTTCATGCTAATCTATGTGTTTGTTTTGGGTTGGGGTAAGTAAGTGGAGATGGATATGTACAACATATCTGCTTCTAGTAACTATGTGCGTACTGGAAACTATTTTGTTCTCAGTTGGAATTTTGGGCCTTTGGTTTCGCAGAATCAGATATTAACTGAAAATGCTTGGCAGCAGTTGGGCGTCGCCAATATAACAAAATTTTGAAAAACAATTGTGTTCCTATTAGGCCTTAACAAAATTTCGAAAAACAATTGTGTTCCTATTAGGCCTTTTAAGTGTCGATGCATTCTAAGTTGTTGGAGATTTTAAAATAATTATTGAGGTACTTTTAAGCTTAAGTTTTAGAAACATGGTATCAATGTCTCTATAACAAGTGTTCAAGAGTTGCTCCTTGCTGCCATATTCGTAATTAAATTGTATTTTAGCACAAGGTGAAGGTCATGTATATTGGCCAGACTTCAATCTCAAACAGCTTTTCTGTAACACAAATGTCTTAAAAGATATAAAAATATTCCAGGGCCTCCACCTAATAGCTTAAGTTTTTAGGATAGTCGGTCTTTGACATAAATGTTTCGAGAGTTGTACAAAATTAGAGATTGTACTCATTATTTGATATAAATTTCTCTTAATCAATTTCAATTTCAAGTTCAGGTTGCAGCTTCAAAGATAACGAAAGATCCACCAACTGGTTTTGCTTTGATAAGACCACCAGGACATCACGCAGTTCCAAAAGGACCTATGGGATTTTGTATTTTTGGAAATGTGGCCATTGCAGCTCGTCATGCTCAGCGTGTTCATGGACTGAAGCGCGTGTTTATAATTGACTTTGATGTTCATCATGGGAATGGAACAAATGATGCTTTCTATGATGATCCAGACATATATTTCCTTTCCTTCCATCAAGTAAGCTTCAAGTTTTGTTCATAGCTCTAATTATATATTCTTTTGTTTCTTCATTGGTGTTTTTAAAAGCCACTCACAAAAGGGAAATAACCAAAAAAAGGTAGAGCTTCAATATTCTGGATTGAGAGGTCTGTGTGAACTTCACAAAACTCTCTACTCAAAGCATTTCTCTCCTCATTCTTCGCTTCTTCCCCTCTATATTCTCACTCTTCTCTGTTCTTTCCCACTTCCTTCTGCAAGCTCAGCATTTTGCAAAGGCTCAAATGTTCAAATCCGCGGCAACCATATTTTCTTCAATTTTCAACATATAGATAATTTTCTTCATTTTCCCTTAGTATATCCATGTCGTTTTTAACATTTTCCTCATATTTAATTTAACTTTAAGCATATATATATATTCTAATATAGTACGTGTACTTTGAAAATAATAATCCTCCCTACATGAAAATTTCATGCAGTCAGACAAAATAAACTAGCATTCATAAATGACATTACTTAGAGAAGACTTAATCAAGTATCTTAGCGTCTCTATTCCTTGCCCCAAATTCTTGCCTATTGTCATAGAATAAAACTCAGAAACATTACCCCCTCCACACTATTTGCACTAGCAGGTACCACTACCAGCATACAAAATGATAACATAACCAAGCTTACGACCTTTGGAAGTTCTGTTTTTTCAAAATGGTCCGGGGTAGGAGATTATGTGAATAAATACATCAGTTATTAGTGTGCAAAATATAAAATGATAATGTAACCAGGCACATAACATGAGTTATTTGTGTGCAAAATACATTTGAGTCTTGTTATATTTAATAACTTCAATTTAATTACTCAGGATGGAAGCTATCCAGGTACAGGCAAATTTGATGAGGTGGGATCTGGGGACGGTGAAGGAACCACACTTAACCTGCCTCTTCCTGGAGGTTCAGGGGATACTGCTATCAGAACTGTGTTCGATGAAGTTGTTGTACCTTGCGCTCAAAGATTTAAGCCAGACATCATTCTTGTGTCTGCAGGGTGAGTTTTTCTTTGAATCATAATCATCAAAGCAAAGATGGAATAAACAATTTCCCAAGCACAGTTAAAAACTGAATTCTACATGAAATTTTGATCACCGTTTTCATTCAGGAGCTAGTTCACATAAATTCTTGCTAATAATGTTTTCTCATTTGGAATTTCATGCAATTTCGTTTGTCAGGTATGATGGCCACGTGTTAGATCCACTAGCTAGTCTTCAACTAACAACAGGAACATATTACATGCTTGCGTCCAGTATTAAACAACTCGCAAAAGACTTATGTGGTGGTCGATGTGTATTTTTCTTGGAAGGAGGATATAATCTCAAGTCTCTTTCATACTCAGTGGCAGACACATTTCGTGCTCTTCTTGGGGACAAAAGCTTAGCAGCTGAATTTGATAACCCAAATATTTTGTATGAAGAGCCAACAAAAAGGGTTAAGCAAGCAATTCAGAGGATAAAACACCTCCATTCCCTGTGATGTTGAAATTCAAAACCTGCCATTATGTGGGTTCCATCCCAAGTTGATGTCTATATTTTTTGTGTCTGCATTGTCCCACTTGTCACATAGGACATAAATGAAGCAAATCCACCATTCAAGATTGATGTGGTCATTGAATAATACCTTCACTCTTGCCATAACACTTTTCAATATAAATTTATTTTGTTAAAGATTATGACAAATTCTTTATCTGAAAATTAATTTTCTTATATTTCATTGCTATTAAGTCAAAGGATATTCTCATTCCAAAAACATTTCAGAATTTTAAACTTGAAATCTTGAAATGTATCATTTTTTTTGTCTTAAAGCCTCATAATCCAAAAGTTGTTTAGATGTTTGTTTCAAGTATTTAAAAATTACTCCCTGATACGTTTTATTATGATAAATATTGTTTACACTTAGTTTCCTTTATTCCTTGATCATTTTGATTTCACTTTATGAAAACCACATTTTTATGTTTTGTATTTGATTATGACCCCCACCATTTTGCATGAAGAGCCAACAATAAATGGTGAGCAACTATTGCAGATAAAACATGTTCATTCTATGTGAGTTGTGATGTTGAAAATAAAAACCTGGCATGTCAACTTTGTCAACAATTAAAATTTTCATTTTATGTGGGTCTTGCAAAGTTTATGAATTATTGTTATTAGGGTCTAAAATGATTCAAGTCGAATTCGTTTAATCTCTATTCGAATTATTTACAAACATTTTCTTAATTTAAATTCAACTTATTTTAAGTTTCAGAATAATGATTCGAATTATTTTAAGTTTACGAATAGTGATTCGGCTGGTAGATTCAACTTGTTGCTCAAATCACACATAAATTAAAAGTCAACTTATTTTAAAATATTTGATTTTTAACTTTTTTATTTTAAAAAATTAAGATTAAATTGCAATAAAAATTATTCAAATATCAAGTGTTTAAATGCTTGCGAGGAGGTTATAGGTGGATTATTGGAGCTGGAGAATCTATTTCAATTTGGAGACACAATTGATTGTATGATAGTTCATTGTTGGAAATTTTTTGACCATCCATGCCGATAATAGAAAAGCTGAAGCTCTCTGATTTGAGAGATACACATGATAAACGATAGAATTTCAATTTGATTCATAATTTTGTTGGAGAAACAAAAGCGGAAAAAGTTCTTAAAACTCCCTTATTTAAAGTTGTTCAGTTGGATAAAATAGTGTGGAAGTTTGAGAAGAATATACTCTGTTCGTAATGTCTATTGATATTGTGTAGAATAGGCTATTGAAACAAATCATCTTAGGGTTTGTGAGAATTGACAGCTCCTTTGAAAAATAAAATCTCCTCCAAGTGTAAAAAGTTTTCTTTGGCATCTTTGTAGGAATTGTGTGCCAACTAGAAAGCGGTTGATAGATAAAGGTGTCCAATGCTCGACCTATTGTGATACTCGTGGAGAAGAATTAGAAGATGATAAGCACTTTGTCTTCTATTGTACAAAAAGTATCAAGTGTTGAGAGCTAATGGGATTATGACATATTATTCAATGACAAGAGATAATATTCTATTCACATATATCATTTCTCTCTTTTGTAGGAATTAAGTCAAAATCAATAAGTTTTGGTATCAACCATTATTTAGAGTATTTGAAAGGGTGTGAATAGTCATACTTAGAATCATATTGAAGAGTCAGCCGAAATAATTTGTGATCATGCCTCTTATCTGCTATTGGGATGGAGAAATGTTCATGTTCAACATCTCCATGCGAAATTTTTTTTACAAAATGAAACCCCTATGAACAATACATAGAGAAAGCCTTCTATAGATCGTTTCAAATGTAACATAAATGCATCTCAGCGACTTTTAACAAGGTTGATATAGGTTTTTGTGTTTGAGATGAAGAGGGGGTAATTTGTGATAGTTCGTAAAGAGTGGATGTCACCAATTGCCGATGTTGAGACGGGGGAGGCTTAGGCCTTCTAGCGGCCATCAAATGGATGCATGAGTTCGGTTTGGATGGAGTGAATTTGAGGTAGATTTAAAAAGCGTAACGAAGAATATGAATAGCCAATAACAAAATTTGTCGGAATTTGACGAAATTATAAAAAATGTAAACGCTATTAGTCCGTTATTTTATAAGCTTTCATATTAAGTTTATTAGGACACATATTAATGAAAATACTCATATTTAAATTAGGTTAATAAGGATGACTCCATCTTTGTAGTTTTCATAATATTGATATTCCAACTTATATTAACAGTTTTTTTTTAATTAATGATATGAATTAAATCTTTTTCCGTAAGAAAAGTTACTAGACGGAAATACAAAGTAAGTATGATCTCACCACTTTACGTGAAAAGCCAAAATTAAAGGGTGAACCAGCAATGCAGATAAGACATGTTATTCGTGTTGTGAAATATTGAAAATCAAAACCTGTCATGACAAGCAACTTTGTCTACCATTAAAATTTCATCCAGAACAGCATTGCACAAGAGACCTTGTGGTCCTTGAAAAAGATTTGTTTTTTCTTCAGATTGAAGAGTGTTCCCCATCTAGCAGAACAGTCACCGTTAGTTTTATGTGTTCCAAAATTGAAATGATGAAGCTAAAACACCTGTCTATGTTGTATCAACAAAAACAAAACACTTGTCTATGTGCCAATAAAATTGATACAGTGTGACCCACTAACAAGTGCATAAGCATGACGTGTGAGGTCATCAACTTTATCCTTCAGCAAAACGTAATCATTGTTAATCAAATCGTACCAACTTGACTTTTTTTTATAAAAATGCTCATAACCTAATTTCTGTGTCCTAGATCAGAATTGTATTTATAAGTTGGCATATTAGGCTTATACAAGCTAAATATATGCAATTCTTGCTCTCACATTTTCAAAAATACATTGCTTAAATTTTAGGATCTAGGGAGTGTTTTTAATATTTAGTTTCTTCACATGTGTGTGCCATTTTCTTTGCATTTTAAAAGTGTTCAGTGCATGCTGTTTTGTTCACACATGTATTAATTTTATATGTTTCTTTTTGTAATATTTAAAAATTGAGATGCTCGATCATTTTAGGGAAACAACACATAAGGGTGATAAAATGGATCAGGTCCGTCGGACCGACTTGTTTGACCTACTACTTTTGGTAGATTGAGCTGAAATTTTCGGATCGATGTCTTAAGTTGGTCCCTTCTATCTAATTCGCTTTAAAAACGAGGCAGGAGTAAGGCGCAGCGGGTTTTGTCCCACGCGTTTCCCTACCATTTAGGGGTTTTAGCTCCTAAATGTGGTCTGAACTCCTCCCCTCTACTAGGGGAGGTGGTTGACTGCCTATTTTTTCGGAGTTAGCAATGACTCTCTCTTACTTAACTTCCACGTCGAGTGGATCTCTTGGGCGACTCCTTTATGATCTACCCGGGAAACCCAATGGTTAGGCGAGGACAACCTAGTCTAGGACTTTACTAAATATAACACTACACAATCCCTCAAGCACGAGTACTTTCCTCTAAAGAGATAAATGTTTAAAACCATTTCCCCTTTTGGAATGCGTCCCTCGCTCTATCGACAACTCCCTTAACTAAGAACGACTTTGCTCGAGGATGCCCTTCCCGCATAGGTAAGCCCCTCAGTCGAGCTCGTGTGAGGAAGCAGGCGAGATCTTTGGTTATAATTTTCGCCTAATGAGTCAGTGTCCATATGTCCTTTGTTTTACTAAGGTACATTAACCCGAGAAGTCAATCAATCATGCTACAAATGTGTTTTTCTTCATTTAATGTAATCAATGGTGACCCGTTCTTTGAAATTGCAAACGTTAACGACACATGTATGTAGTGTGCAGAGCTTTATAAAATCTTGGGGGAACTCAGAGGGTTTCCATATAAGAAGGGTTTTTCTCTTCGCATTCAGTTTTATTTTCTGCAATCTTACTCAGGCTATCTCTTCTCATTACCCCAACGAAGCTTTCACTACTATGGAAAATACCTATCACATTTGGAAAAGGGATATCACCACACTGTACCAATCTATAAGAGGTAAGATGTGATTGTATGTGTGATGTTTTCCACCACAGTCGTGTGACCGTGATTATAACTATGTAGTGCGCTACCTACCACAACGATTACTTTAAACAAGTGTTGTGGTAGTCTTTAATGCATAATGTATAAAAACAATTGGTCTAAATAACTGTTGTAGTATATAAACTGAGTTTATTATAAATTATGTGGAATGATTATTTTGCCAATGCTCACTAAACATATAACCTTTCGATATGAACTAGAACATTATAATATGACAAATTAAGTCATATTAGAAGAACACGTTCATGTTCAATGCTTAACAAGAGTTTTTCAACTCCTTATCCATATTTTTCTCTTAAACAGTTAGAACTTTGTTTAATTATCCTAGTTCATCAACCCCTCATGCCTATACCTCTAGTTCATTTTGTAAAATATTATTTACCTTGCAAACAAAATTAGAGATGAAGAGAGGTGTGGTTGAAGAACTACAATCATTAAATAAAGTTCTAACAGCTAAAGAACAACATGTAGATAACTGATTGAAGAATTCTTGTCAAGAATTTAACATGTACTTGTTTTCTAATATAACTTTATTTATCCTATAATAATTTTCTAATACAATCTGAACAATTATATATTCGATAAGGGATTGTAAAAACACTCAAACCACATAAGATATAATAAACTCATAAACAACATAAATGATACAACAAACATATCAAATCATAAAATATTTCAGAAACGTGCATGTCCCATAATGGCGTGTCCACAATAAAAGAAGGATGAAGTTGAAGTTGCACCTGCAAACATGTATCTATTTTGAATGAATGTCATTATGGATCTTTCATACAAGTTTGCAACACTCACTTTAGTTTCCTCCTTATTATTGAAACAAGTATCCCTACCTACAACTCAAAACACACAGAAAGTTTAAATATTATGAAACAAGGATTTGAAACATAAATAATAATACATAAACACATTTCGAAACAA